AATAAAAATAAAGATGCAAATAAAGACACTGAAAAGGAGAGTTTTTTTATTTTTTTATTTTCTTGAAAACTGACGCAAATCACGCGCAAAAAAGAAGGAGATGAAGTTGAATTGATATGGTAACTAAATTAGGTATTAATGAAGTTAATTTTATCTTTTAGGTAAATATACAATTAATTTAATAGGGGTGGTATTGTTGCAATATTTTTCATATCATGTAGGAGAGATACAAATTTCCCAATTTTATCATTGTGACAGCATTTTATTTTTATATTTATTTTCTTATTTTAGGCGTAAAAAATTTGTACTAAATTAATTGGTAATATTTCAAAACTAGTCCCATGATGGTGACCCTTTTAGTCCCAACGGAATGTAAAAAATATGAATAATCCCACAATTTTTTAAAAATGACCAAAAGTAGGACTTTTTTGCCGGATTTACTATTTCCGGCACGGAACTCCACGTCGCGTACATGTGGCTTATTTTTTGACACCCTAACTTATTTTTTTACACGCTGACATCCGACGTGTTCATATTTTTTTTTACAAGATGTGGGACTATTCATATTTTCTGCATACTTGTGGGACAAAAAATGCCACCCCCTCTATACCTGCGGGACTAGTTTTGTTTTTTTCCTATCTACGTCGATGCCAACGTGTAAAAAAATAAGCAACATATGCGCGACGTGGTATTCCGGACCGGAAATAGTAAATCCGGCAAAAAAAGTCCTACTTTTGATCATTTTTTAAAAATTATACGATTATTCATATTTTCTGCATTCCGTTAGACCAAAATTGTCACCTCCTATACTTATGGGACTAATTTTGAATTTTTCCCAAATTAAGATGTAAGGGTGCTATTGGATATATATTTTCCATTGAATGAAGATTTTTCCGTTGGTTATTGTGATCATGAGATAAGAAAATAGTAAAAAGAAAATAGTTTGTAGTTATACAAATGTGAGTATACGAATATAAAATTTAATAAAAAATATATATATAGGAAAAAGTACAAAGTCTTGAGATCGGATACATAATCAACCAAGAAATACAAGACACAACAACAACATTGACAGAAAAGCCGGGAAATGAGAGGATCACTCAAATGGTGTCCTAGAACCCAACTAACCAACCTTGAATCTAGGTAGTCACTCGACTGGGACCTAGACTCCAAACTGCTCCCAAGAAAATGAAACAAAACAAGAAAAACAAAGACACAACAGCAAACTAAAAGATAACCAATCTTGTTAAGCTGCTTGGACTATGAGGTGAGTAGGTCTTTTTATTTTCTCAAACATCCACAAGTTACGAGTTTTCCAGAGCCACCAGAGGATATATGTTGACAACTGTATCCTTGCCTCTGATATCTCTGACTTGTCCAGTTGGCATATAGACCACCACCAGTCTTTAAAGGATTCTCCCTCTCGAGGCCCATTCCATTGCGCAGGTGAGAGCTTCCAAACCAGTTTTGCAGTATCACAGTGGAATAATAAATGCTCCACAGTTTCTAGATCATCCCCACAAACTGAGCAAACACCTTCCACTTCAATCCCTCTGGCTTGTAGGTTATGGCTAACAGGCAAAGTGCCATTACAACACTTCCAGATAAAGTGCCTAATCTTGCCCATGACCTGCAGTTTCCAACTTCTTTTCCTGACTTTGATATCTCTAGCCATATCTTTACTCCCCTGGGGCTGCCCCATTTTAAGATACTTCTCAGTAATAAGTTGGGCATAGGTGGACTGAACAGAGAATAAGCCCTTGCTGTGCAGCTTCCACTCCCAAGTGTCTTCTTTATGGGGGTTAAGAGTGTTGATGGTGAGAATCAGGTCACAGATGTGTGGAGAGAAAGTTCTCCTCAGCTTCCTATCATCCCAGTTCCAACCATCTTCAGTCATAAGTTCTCTAACCCATACACAGCTTCTGTCTATGCCAGACAACAACTCCACTTTTTGACCTGTGAGATTTGGCAACCAATGTTGGTCCCAGATTTTTGTAGAGGTGCCATTTTTGATCTCCACCTGCATCCACTTAGCACAAATTTGCAAGACTGCATGCCAGCTTCTCCAAAGCCAAGATGAGCTTGACTGAATAGATGCATCAACAATGAGGAGTTAGGATAATATTTAGATTTGAGGACTCTGCTCACCAAGGACTCAGGCACAGTGAGTAGCCTCCACAGCTATTTGGCAATCGTGCAGTGTTGAAGAGTTGGATGTCCTGGAACCCAAGCCCTCCAAATTGTTTTGCCAAAGTTAGCTTATTCCAAGCCACCCAAGGGAACCCTTTAGATAGATCAGTGTCTTTACTCCACCAAAACTTGCCACAAACACTGGAGATTTCCTTGCACAAGGTGACAGGGAGAACAAAGCAGGACATAGCATAAACATGAAGGGCATTAAGAACTGCTTTAATGAGGATTTACTTACCTGCTGTAGACAACCACTTGTTCTTCCAGCTGCAGATTCTTTTCTTAACCACATAGAGGATATAATCAAAGGCTTCTCTTTTTGATCTCCCAATGCCCATTGGAAGGCCCAGATATCTTGTTGAAGAGTGAATTTGAATGCCAGATAGGATAGAGCAACACTTGTATTTAATGTTGGCTGGAGTATTTTTACTGAAGAAAACAGATGATTTGGCCATGTTCACCTGCTCATTGTGAATTTATGGTAAGCTTGAAGAACATTCAGAATCTTTGTGCCTTGCTGCCCATCTGCTCTACAGAAAAGTAGAGTGTCATCTGCAAATAGTAAATGAGTCAATGTGGGGCCATTTCTGACCAATCTTACTCCTTTGTAGCTCCCATTATCTGCAGCACATTGAATTTTGGCAGACAACAACTCTGAGATAATAATAAAGAGGTAGGGGGATAGAGGATCCCCCTGCTTAATGCCTCTAGAAGCTGTAATGAAACCACAGGGCTTGCCATTCAAATTAATAGAGAAAGAAGGGAATTGAATACAGGCCATAATCCACTTGACAAACTTAGCACTGAAATCCATTCTTAACATAGTCAATTGAACTGATTTCCACTCAAGGCTATCAAAAGCCTTCATCATATCAAGCTTCAAAGCCATGAAAAAATTATTCCCTGATCTGTGCCTATTCAAAAAGTGGAAGACTTCATGCCCAATCACAATATTATCCAGTATCTGCCTTCCAGGAAGAAAGGCAGCTTGGCTCTCAGAAATGCAGTAATTGAGACAAAGCCTTAACCTTGATGCCAAAATCTTAGAGATAACTTTATA